AAGTTGAAACGGAAGGTAATAGAGGGAAGTGCTAAATTAAGAAGTCATTTATTGCTTTTTATAAGGCAGTCTACTTTTCTTTCATCTACATTAATAAGACCTTAGTTTAGCTTATCCAATGACTTTATAGTATTACACCTCTAAAAGAAAATCTTCATATTTTTTTCTGACCTGATTAGTTTAACACTTACTCTGTCTAATACATGTATCTCTCTCTTTTATATATCTATGCAGTGTGTGTTTTGTACATTTTTCGAAGGAAAATATAAGTTACTCCCTCCGCTTATATTAGATGAGTTAGTTTGACTCGGTACGGAGTTTAAGAAAAAAGAAAAAAACTTTTGAAACTTGTGGTCTTAAAAGCTTAAGGGGTAAAGGTTTGTGAGGCCATGACATTTGTGTGGCTATAAAAGCTTCTCATTAAGGGTAAATGAGTAAAATAAAGAGTTTAAAGTTAAATTATTTCCAAATTTAAAAATGTATCATTTGTTTTAGAACAGACTAAAAGTATCTCATCTAATACGAAACGGATGAAGTAATTAATTAGCTGCGAGTGACGTAACCAATTACGTCAAAGTTCGGTGAAACCTAGATAATATTTACTTGCTACTACAGGAAAAATGCACCAAACATGGTACGTGGGATTAAGGAAAGTGTTAATTAACTACAAACAACCTTAAACTAATCACAAGTTGAACTTAATGGCAACAGTTTACAATGTCACTTGCATGATAATCATAAAGTAGGACGGCTGATTACCGTATTCTTTTGTACTTAAAAATTGAATATTTTATAGAAAGTTGAAAAAACTTCGAGCAGATTAGAGATCTCCGTCAACTTATATCATAGTTGAATCAGAAACATAGGCATCAAAATATTAGTTTAATCATAACCTTAAATTATATCCATATTTCATAGTTTAATCACATGCAAAAGTCAGGCAACTTGGCTCCTCGTACAAACCACTTGCCAACACCTGCACCTATGACTATGAATTTGGACACGGCAAATAGAAAAAGAAACCTTAAAAAAAAGAGTCCACTTTTTGTTTCAGTTTTAATGTTCTTGCTTGTTTGGATGGTTGTTACATGTTGATACTATTGTATTGCATGGTTATTTTAAATATAATATTTTATTATTATTATTTTAATTTTTATTGTATTGTATTATTAAATTCGTCGTTACGTAATGACAAAAAGTGTTACTTTATGGAACAATCGATTTGGTGTGGTCGTATCGTTCCCTTATTTTTCTCTCATCTTGCCTTTCCATATTAGTATTAAATAATTATATTTATCATTTACCCTACCTTTTCATATAATAATTCTATCTAGTACTTTACTTTTTTTTTATAATATTGTAAGTTTATTCTTCATATTATTGGTGCATGAAATAATGAAACAATGGAAAATAATACAGTCTATCCAAATTGTATATATCAAGACGATATAATATAATACTATATGAAACGATACATAAAAACCACTCAAACAAGCTGTAACTGTACGCGTACGTCTCCTGTAGATGAGGAAAAAAGAAAACAGTTGACAGTTTTTTTTCTTTATCTTTCTATTATATGGAGTATTAAATTCAAAAGCTATTTCTTTAGTTTCACAAAAACAAAAAGAAGGAATCTCTTTGATTCTTTAAAGACAGAGTGCATGTTAAGGTATTATTGTTCCAAGGTTCTGGCTAATAATTCTTTATTTAAGAGTGGTGAGGTGGGGTTCGGATACCAACGATTATAAATTTGCCTAAAAGGGTGTTGAATTAATCATCTATAAAAATACAGAAAAGTACGCCTTAAGACTAGGTTTATTGTCTTATGCAGTTGATAACCTAAGATCCAACAGTTGTCTCTTATTAATGGACAAAGAAACATAATGTTATTAACAATCGAGAATTAAAAGGTAATTCAATGGTAGACCAGCTACATTGCATTATGGAGGTGCGAAACTCGTTTTTTTTTTTTTTTTTTTTCTTTCAAAACTCGATCTTCGCTAGTCTAGTTTGTCAATCACAGGTCAATCTGTTATTGTTTGATTTTTGGTTGTCTGATCGCAAAAAAGCTTTTACTGCAATTTGGATAAAACTATTGATACACTAAGCCCTGGGATGATTCATTTTTATTTTATTGAGAGTGGGCTTGAGAATAATTTAAATTAGCAATTTGTATCTTGTCTGGTTGTTAGAATTAGAAGTAAAAGAGAAACTTGCAGAAAATAGTGCCAATCCACCCGCTTAGTGTTTTCTCATTTAATTGGTCACTCAAAAAGGAAAGTTCAATTGCGCCAAGTTGCAAACTTTCTGATAGCCCAAATAAGCCCACTAAGTAATCGTATGGAAATATATGACATATTTGCACCCAAAGGAAAGAAACAAAAATTATGCTTTTAGCCGCTACCAAAAATAATAGCCGATATTATATATTTTATATATATACATATAATATAAATATTTTATATATATACATATAATATACATATTTTATGTATTTTTTGGTTATCAAGTACAATTAGTTTCAACCGATCAGTCAATTCTGTATTTTGCCCCAAAAACAAAACACAAAAGAATTTTTACATTCCTATACACTATATGAAACTATATTATCCTCCTTACTCAAGTTTTACTATAATTACATTTTATATACCCAATTGCCATTTATGTACATTTTAAGGGAATTAATGATAATAATTAGTGTCCTAAAATGACTCTAACGTATCTTCCACATTCCCCCCCCCCACGTATTTTGCACAAGAGAGCAGTAATTCCGTCATTGACAACCATTAAAAAGTTTTGAAGCTTTGAATTCAAATTTGGATTTTCAAAAAATATTATCTGTTTGAATTGAGTGTTGTTGCAAAGAATTGAGAATTCTATCTATGTGTCTCTCTATCTCTCAATCCCTAATTTCAGTAATATAAAACAAAGGAAAAGAGATCAACAATTCCACCATTGACAACCATTAAAAAGCTTTGAAGCTTTGAATTCAAATTTGGGTTTTCAAAAACCATTATTTGTTTGGATTGGGTGTCGTTGCAAATAATTGGGAATATGGTTTGGAGTTTATATCTCAATTTTAAGGGTGTTTGGTGAAATTAGACTTGATTTTTGCTGAATTTCAGATTGAAACTCGAAGAAGAAGAAGAAGAAGACGTGATATACATTGTATTGTAGAAAAATTATATTATGTTATTATATATATATATATATATATAAAATTATTGTATGAAAGTTGAACAATATTGTTTAAAAATTATATTTAAGTGGTATGATATTGTAGTTGTATATAACTAAGTAGAAATAATGTATGAAAATTGTAGATAAATTGTAGATAGGTTGTATAATATATAATTAGTTGTATGAAATTTATAGACATATTGTATAAATTTTATATAAAATTTATATTTATGGTACTTAACTATTACGTGGTGATTGAATTTTTAGTCCCGCTAAATTAAGTTTGGGCATTTTATGCCTCCCTTTGAATTAAGGAATGCTTTAGTCGCTATCCGTTGGTCCACTGATTATCTTCTGAAGACTGTCTCTCAAGTCTCAACCCAATCGCATTTTTGTCCAGGTTTGCTAATTAGTAAACTTTTTTGCTTTTGATGGGACTAAACGAACACCATTCATTTCTATCAAAATTCAGACTTTTTTTGGTGCTCAATTATCTGTATGTAAAATTATTAATTCACCAGTTTATGCCTCCAGCTTGGATGAAGGAAGGGTATATGGGACCATGTATTTCAAGAACAATTTTGATAGATTGGTGAAAGTGAAATCAGCAGTGGATCCAACGAATTTCTTCAGAAATGAACAGAGTATTCCTATCACCAAATCATATGCAGATATGCTTCAGATTTTGGAGAGAAGAGGAGGGGTTAGAAAAAAGGAAAATGGTGTAACTAAATCCCTTGATTGAAGGCACAAATAATGGATTGAGAGCCTTTTAAGGTCGATTGTATATATTTTGTAAACAAAACTTGTTTATGCCAGGTTATTAACTAAATATGAACATTTAGGGTAATAAAGTTTCCAATAGTGTATATATATGAAAAAATCCCAAAAACAAAAGTTGTCTTTAGCCCCGTTACAAGATAGACCCAGCCCATCAGGCTTCAAAGTTGAGTTTAACATAGATTTAACTTCTGAACAAGCATTAGATTATTTAGGTAGAAGTGACACCAGGTAGCCATTCTAGAAGGATGCTATTTAGAAATTAGTCACTTTGTCCTGAATTTAGTTTTCTATTTTAATTTGAGTTAAGATTTTTAGTTTAAATTTTTAAATCGAAATAAGTACTGGCTAATCCCTAAATAACAGTTCTAAAAATGAATGTTTGTGTAATTCTTTAAAGCCAGCTACAAGTAGTTGTAAATCTTAAACATGAGTTAGTTACTTAGAAAATCTTCAGATAACTTGCTATATCTAGTTATTGTACACTGACAATGCAAAATTCATTATACTGAGCTTTAAGTCCGTTAAACATATAAGAAAAGTGCAAAAGTTTCATCGATATAATCCTTTTTCTGATAACCGAGAAATCCTCGAGAGTTGGTGGCACACGATCCTAAACTCGGTGGATGAGGGGTCGTCCCTTTATTCTTCTCCACATAAATACAAAGCTTTTGTTTGCGGCCGGATTCAAACCCCATAACAAGCTTCGTCGATAAATCTACATTTGCTAATGTTTAGTTATCCTAACATGTTACACAGAAGCAAGCCAGAGCAGTTCCTACTGCAGTCATATAGGGAAGTTGAGAAATACACCAATTTCTGGGACTAGAAAAGCCATATAGATAATTAACTACAAGCACATCAACATCCCTTCGGTCACAAATAAGAATTACAGTTTATACACATCAGTATGGCAGTTAAAAAGAGAGCATGATTTGTGTCCGAATAAACAAAATTAAGGAATGAATAACTGTAACAGTAAGTATATGGTCAAGTTGTTCAAGGGGGCAGAGAGGAAAACCCACACAATATGAGCTATGTAATGGAGGTGAGACGGGCAAGCGCCATCAAGTTATGTTACTACTTCCCGTGGCCTGTACTATCAGCAGAATGGATCTGAAGGAATTGTGAATCGTTAACTTGAAGGAGTCCACATACTACCAACAGAATCTTTCACGTAAAAGTTAATCATTTGTTGTTTGTCAAATGATGGAATTTACACCTAAAAAATATATGATCAAGGGATTTAAGATTCAACCAAGTGAAAGTCCGAGGACTTAGAGAAAAGGAAGAATGTGCCAGGGAGCTTTGCTTCTGGAGCTCAATGCATCATTTCGCTTCCAACAGTAATAATGCTGCTGTGACCTGCATTATGTATAGAGATTTGATGAGGATTATCAATACTAGTAACTAGGAAGCAACATACGATCAAATAACATTTTTGAAATTTTACACTTACTTGAAACACGTGAATTTACGTTATTGGATGATACTATAACTCTTACAGGGAGAAACGGACAAAATGTACTAGACAGAAACTATAGAGATTCCAACTTCCAAGCAATAGGCCAAACATAAGGCTGTTGTTATTTGTCATAAAAATGATGGCATTCATAAAAGTTTTTTCTCATGTGAACTAAAATTGAATCCATATAGTTCAGGAAGCCTGGAACTGTTCTCTAATCAATGATTTGTTTCTTCCTTTTGTTTATTGATGAAATTGTCTTCTTTTCTATGTCATGGATGTACGCTTGAAAAGCTTCAACAAATTGGAATAACGCCACTACCAAAACACCCCCCACCCACAAACAAAAAGGCAAGTAGTATACTTTAAATCAGACCTTGACAATGTATTGTATGTATATCTGGCCCTGGCATTTCCACTCCATCATCATTAAGCAATGAAATCCCAGAAGAAGTTATGTTGAAAGGGAATGCAAGAGGTGGAGAAAGTGAAGATTTTGCTAATTTTATGAACCTTTGACCTGAAAGATGGAAGAGAACATCAGCAACTCCCATTTATCTATGTTAATAATCTGCTGTCTACTCGTGAATCAGAAAGCTTAAGTCAGAAAAAATAAATGTAAGCTTTATTTAGAGACTTCAATGTATCATTTCTTAGAAGTTATGAACCACCGCCAATAATTTGTCCATTCAAGTTGTAAGACCCTATACTAAGGATCGAAACCCTCTAACCAACTTCCATCTTCAGGATATGCTAAGAAAGAAATACAAATATTGAGAGCATAAATGAGCATGAAGTTACTTCTGCAGTAGTGTCCAAGCATGCCGCGCAAAATAGGACCTATCGCAAGACAAATAATAACTTTTGCGAATTTCTTTGCTTCCAAATCTTTCATTTTATTCTCCAAAAGTTCTAAGGATAGGAAATGCTTGTCACATAATTGTACATTGTAGCAGATAAAGAAGATTTTTTTAGTTATATATCCGTGGGTTGTTATCCGAATTATAAATAAATTCCGCTAATTATCAGGTGCTGGTTTTTGGCGTAAGCTTGGAGTAAAAATGTCCTGGAGAATACAAAGATATAAATTTTATTGAAGAGACCACTTCCGACCACCATCCAATTGTACACCAATCAACTCCTCTCCCTCGCATAATCTGTCTGCAGTGATTTTTCAGATAACAGAATCCAGAAGAGCATGTAGTCGGTTAAAGACCAACAAACAAAAATATAGTAACAGCACTTATTTACTCGAGCTAATTTTATGGGTTGCAACGTAAGCAGAGTGCTGACACATCAGAACCAAAGGTGAGCACCACGGCGAGTTTGAAGACCACAAAAACACAAATTTCCTATCCACGGAATAAAGACAGAAGAATTAACAGCAAAACAAAAGTCCAGGATCATCAATTCTGAGAAAAGAAGATCAAACCTGATCTTGATTCAAATACAAGACGAATACTAACAGCATGAGCCCAGTGGATCCCTAAAGCAGCAACAAGACGAGAATCAAGATTTGTGGAAGCTTCTGAACAATCGACTCTGCTCAGCTCTGAAAGGAAGTTTTACCTGTTAAAAAATAAGGACGTGTATGCCTCTGGTACCATGTTAAAAAAGGACACTGGGTTTAACTCAACCCACATAAGCTAGCTCATAACTGAGGATTGCCCAAATTATTATAAAGACACCACAACCCATTTTCTCAACCAACATGGGAGACTCTTAACAGTGTCCAAAGTTTTATGGGTCGTGTGAAGTAACACAAAAGGTAGGACCTGTTGCTTATGCACTACAATTTCCCAAAAGTTCTCAGCTACACCTTGTATTTTCATGCTTGATCGTTGAAATGAAGATTGGACCGGGTGTATCTCTACAACAGCTTCTCCTGTCCACCGAAGCAGATGGACAGATTTTGACTCGACCTATAGCAATACTACAAAGGAAACTGGTGAAAGAAAACAAATGGAATTTCAGCGAAAATACTTGTACAATAGGAAAATTTACCTCCAAAAGAAGCAACACAAGAAGATAGGAAGGTAATCAAGCTTAGTTTCCAAAGTTTATCTAACAACAGCTTGCTCGAGGTCGAGTATGACTCCAAGGGTAGAAGGAATGTAATGAGCTGGAGTAGACTTTCTAAATTAGGGTAAAACTAAATTTCAATTGGGATGTTTTGAGATGGCAGTGTTTAGCTAAGCAAAGGGTAACTTCACTTTTAACGTTGCAGAATAATAGTAGGGGTGACTTGAGCTGGCGGAAGATATATGTGGCTGGGATGAATCGAGTTGAGGGCCCAGATAGTTCAGCTTAGTCCATATATGCGGACAAACAAGAGAGAGGAATCAGTTCTGCACTTCCAGTAAAACACCAAACTCGGAATCTTATAATAATCTCAACAGAAACCTCTAATTTACTTCTTAAATGAATAAATTTTCATAAGTTTAGCACATGAACACATTTTACCCATTAATTTCAGGGAAGAATGTGCAACCAAACATGCTATGGTGACATGGAACCAAGCACAATTTATGGCAATGATCCTACTGTCGCTCAAAATATATTTCTTTATTTAAGAAAAACAAAGAAAAGCTCCCATCATTATTTTATAGGAAAAAGTATCAAACGACTTTAGAGCACCACGATACCTTGGAAAGAATAGTGGGAAATTTCATCACGACTTTGAGATCTCACTTGGTTGGTTACTACTATAGGAATTCGTGAAAATTCTGCAACTGATCTGAAAATGGCAAAGAAGCAACACCAGATTAGAATAGAACATTGATCACCTGCTTGGATTGGCGTAAAAAGAAAGAGATACATTCTCGATATTCATTCAGAAAGACAATATTCTCACTTAATAAATGATATATGCCAACCCAATGAATGTTGCCTCTGAGGTCCTTGGACACCTTCACTGAAGAGAGTGAAAAGTTCATGAGTATCACTATGGCGAAAAGGACAATGTGAAAAACAGTATAATGCTATTGAGTTTTCAGAGATTTATTAAACCAGCATTGCCACATAACATGAAATCACACCAACTGCAAGAAGAGGATTCTGAGCACCACGTGTCAAATCTCTGTTTTCGCATAATCAAAGATATTATAGAATAAACTCCCAACAAAACCAGGTTACCATGAATTCCACAGACACAGTATGTATTGAGACCAAATTTTCACATTGAGAATGATTGCATAAATTTTCCTAGAAAAGCAATAGAATCTGATACTGCATAACACATTATTCTTGTAAAGAACCTAAGAGCACAAATCTAAGCTAGCTTTAGGACATAGATTTGGTTGAAACTTGAAAAGAGAAAAAATAATTTTTGGAAGTTGAAGTTGTGTTTGGACATGCATTTTATTTGGAAAAAAGTTGAAGCTTTGTGAGCGGAAGAAAATTTTCACCCAAAAACTGGTAAAATTCAATTTTCTTTCAAAAACTGATGAAATTGCATGAACAAACAATATTTTCAATTTTTTTTTTGCAAAAAATTAACCAAAATCTATGGTCAAACGGGAGCTAAAAGCACTCAGACAGATGTTATCTGGACTACCAAGATATTCACAATTTTTTCAAGTGGATATTAGGGGAAAAGTTTATAACTCCAGTAGAAGTTGTACTTCAAAGGAAGTACATGTTGAGAAATTACGCAGGAAAAGTGAAAAAGGAATTACCCTGCAAGAAGAGCAGCCATGCTGTCGATGATCAGCAATTTCACACCATGTTGAAATAGTGAAACTCTAATTTTCTGCAAGCTGACAGAAACACAGACTATAATTAGTAAAAAAAGAAATCTTCCAATACTTGCACAATTTGGACGAGTGTTACGAAAGCTAGAATCTGAATGGCAAAGTTAAGAGGCTGCTTTGGACAGCAGTCAATGCCGGCCACAATTGAGGATGAGTGTTATGAAAGCTAGAATCTGGGCGTCACTTTAAAGAACCTTATTTTTAAGTATATTTTCTACTATTTCTATACCGGGATTTTCTAAAAAAAATTACGAATTATTACTTTATCCAAGAACGGGTTGTTTTGGACAACAGTACGATCAAACAGAGGGAAAAAGAAATTATAGTACAGGAACTAAATAAAATACATGCATTGTGAACACAACATATAAATGCTGCATGGATGTTTTGTTAGTCACGTGGTTGTTATAAAATCGGAGATATACGGGCTTTAACACAATATTGTATATGACTTCCCATTGGATTTACTCTTTAACATGTTCATGACCATCATTCACCAAACAATTAATTTTCTAATAAAGCCGCTTTCCTCCGAACCATCTAACCAACTGTATTAACCTATATAACTCCTAAGTCCACCCTTCAGAGAAGAGAAGATGAACACAAAGACAGTCAATTTCATTAACGGACTCATACTCCTTCCAACTTTATAATCCAGAATCTAAATATTGGCAAGTTCACTGTTGCTCTGATGGTAAGCAACCTCCACTCCCAATCAAGAGGTTGTGAGTTCGAGTCTCCCCAAGAGCAAGGTGGGAAGTTCTTGGAGGGAAGGATGTCGGGGGTCTATTTGGAAACAACCTCTCTACCCCAGGGTAGGGGTAAGGTCTGCGTACACACTACCCTCCCCAGACCCCACTAAGTGGGATTATACTGGGTTGTTGTTGTTGTTGTTGTTGTACTATTGCATCAAAACTCAGAATAACAGCACATAGGTAAAGCTGCAACAAACCTATCAGTGAATTCAGAAAGGGATGTCGGTCTTAAAACTAGGATCCTTCCAGCCATCTGCAACATCAAAAGGGGGAACATCCTCACTAAACTCTTCAACTCAATGTATTGCACAGAAAAACATTAAAGGGTGCATCAGCATCAACATATGTCAAAGGGTCTGCTATACTACATGCTCTGGCATAGTTGACTTGCAAAATTAAAAGATGTCCGACTCTTTATTTTATTTTTCCCTTTCACCATCATTTTAGCAAAGACACACCGATATAGTTGAGCATGGAAGAGACGTGTTTATAGACATCTTCAAGTCAATCATTAAAGGAGAAAAGTCAACTTAGAAATGGTCATCATGATTATCTATGCACCAAGTTATAGAAAAGACTGGAGATCTAGACCTTGCATCCTACCATGACCGTTTCATGGCTCGCAAGCAATTTATAGACTCAAATTAGAAACTGACTTAAAACCTTTCGCTCCCTTGTTCACGGTTGTCATTTCAAAGTCCTAAATTATTCAAAAATTATGGCAGAAAGCACTAGACAAAATGCTGCATACCTCCTGTGCCATCCCTTCAGCGTGAAATGCTTCGGGGAAGCTATTATATCCTATTTCTATCATCCTGGGAAGACACTTGAGAAACAGAATTGTCAGTACTTCCAATTATAACACAGCAACCTCAGTACCAAAAGCCTAAAAAAGGGCAGCCCGGTGCACTAAGCTCTCGCTATGCGCGGGGTCCGGGGAAGAGCCGTGCCACAAGGGTCTATCGTACGCAACCTTACCCTGCATTTCTGCAAGAGGCTGTTTCCACGGCTCGAACCCGTGACCTCCTGGTCACATGACATCAAATTTATCGGTTAGGCCAAGGCTCCCCTTCAAGCCTGAAAAGTGAAAATACCTCCTTGAGCTAAACTTGGATTCTGTATCGATATAAATTACTGAACCATCTAAGCCGCCATAACTTGATGGAAGAGAAGCTAATAACGAAAGCTTCAAACAGAACTGCAATTTAAGACAGAAGAAGCTCAATCAAAAGTTTACCAAAGGCAACAAATGGTTTAAAAGCAAGGAAACACCATAGCACTATTGTGGGAAGATAGAAAAAAGGGCAGCCCGGTGCACAAAGCATCCCGCGTTCACGTAGGGTCCGGGGAAGGGGCACTATTATGGGAAGATATCAGATTAAAGAATATGAAATGTCTCTCGATGTACTCCACTTAGCATTTCTTTTCAGCAGGCAATCACATTAGATAGAAGCGAAGAAACTTCAAGCAACCCCAAAAGGCCCAACCAACCACTAAAAAGGAAATTAAAAAGTAATGTAGAAGTTCGGAAAGCAAGCTTGTTTGAAGTTCGAAGTAGACAATCGTGCCTGAGTTTTACCAATGCCTGCTGGACCCACTAACTCTGTCACAACACCAAAAGGAATTCCACCACACAAAGCATTATCGAGTCCTTTTAGACAAGTTGGAAGATGGCCAGCCATTCTCTCATTTTGAACCCTCTGTTCCAGCAATGAAAGTGCCTGTCACAGGAAGAGGAGGGGGAAAAGTGAGATTGCATCTCCTCTTGAAGAAATGAACAATGGATTTTGCCTTTATAAGCTTACAGTTTGGTAAGGAGGACATGTAATTTCACTGATGTGTGCCACTGCTGATGCTACTACAGCTAAATCCACATCTAACAATTCCATCAACTCGAATTCTGTCAATGACAATACGTCCTGGGACCATAGAACAAACATAAATTAATGGAAACAAATTGAAAGCAATTTGTCAGGAAGTTAATAAGGTTCAAAACAGGATACATAAAATTGATCCTCTCACCGTGTTCTAGGTGAAAATATATACTGCATTTAAACCAAGGTACAAAATTATAAGGAAAAATGAAACACACATGCACACTTGAAATATGAAAGCAACAATCAGAATCTAATGAAACACACATGCACACCAGTGTCTTGTTGATATAAGGAAACAAGTACCTGCGGGAAAATAAGAAACTAAAGGTGCTCCATATAAAAAAGACTTTTTCCTTGTGTGATCTCATTTTCGCACTCAGCATAGGCAGTAAGACACGTGCTTGGGATAAGTCATTAGTGCTTATCAGAGCAATGAACAGATTCATAAATACTTCATCTGGTTTAGTGTAAAAAACTATGAAAGTATTTTTCTTGTTTGAAAGTTTTTGATTGACTTAAAACTACATAAAATGTCTTCTTATTAACATCTTGAACACCTCAGAATATCAAATCAATAAACATCCAAAATAAAAGCATCACTAGTTTTTCACTTCAATTAGCTACACCAATACTCAATACTGTTGAGTTGTGTCCCATATCGGTGGGTTATGGGTATCTTGGTCTTCTTATATGGTCTTGGGCAATCCTCACCTCACAAGCTAGCTTTTGGGGTTGAGTTAGGCCCAAGGTCCATTCTTATCATGGTATCAGAGCCAGACCCATCCCAATTTATTGTTACCGATGTTGGGCCCCCATTTATATTGTCCACGCTCCAGTTGCAGGCCTAGGCGTGAGGGGGGTGTTGAGTTGTGTCCCACATCGGTGGGTTATGGGTATCTTGGTCTCCTTATATGGTCTTGGGCAATCCTCACCTCAGAGCTTCGGCTTAATTCCGGTGGGTTCAACAATGGCAGACGAGTAAGGAGAAGATACAATTGAGCTAGTCGAATCCAGAATCAGTTTCATCTGGTTCAAGGTGCAGCTGAAGATACGATCTCCTCTTCTAGTTAGGGTTTGCTGATTTTGAGCAAATTCACCAACTAAGTAACTCTCTTCAATCTACAAGTCTACAAAATTAGTATGGCGATTAATGAAAATGAGTCTACTTCGACTACAGTTACATCACCTACATATGATACTCAGAATACTGACTTAGTTCATCGCAATCATCCTTTGTATATTCATCTTTCTGATACTCAAGGTGTTGTCCTCATCTCGATTCAGCTTCGAGGATCTGAAAACTACTCTCTTTGGAGTAGATCTATGAAAATTGTGTTGCATGACAAAAATAAGTTAGGTTTTGTGCTAGGAACCTGTAGGAAGGAGCTTTATGATCCAAGTCTTCATGAACTTTGGGGTCGATGTAATGCTATTGTTTTAGCATGAATAATGAACATTGTAGCTCCAAATTTACTGAGCACTGTGATCTATGCATCTAATGCTCACAAGGTTTGGGAAGATCTTCGTGAAAGATTTGATAAGGTGAATGCTGCTAGATCATTTTATCTTCACAAGGAAATTGCAAAATTGACTCAAAATCTGCTAACAGTGTTTGAATATTTCTCAAAACTTAGAGAGTTATGGGATGAGTATGAAGCCTTAGCTCCTCCTCCTTCATGTGGATGTCCTAAATCCAAGCAACATGCAGAACATTTCCAACAACAGAAATCGTATCAGTTTTTGACTGGTTTAAATGATTCTTTTGGCAATGCTAAAGATCAGATTCTTATGATTCGACCACTTCCAAATGTCAACCAGGCCTATGCTATGGTAGTTAATGTTGAGAGTCAAAGGAAAAAACAGTGCAGCTCTAAGTGTTGGCATTAGTGATTCAACAACACTGATGAGTAAAGCTAATGCAGGAAATGGAAATAGCAACTTCAAACCTAGAAATAGTCTTGGGAGACCTACACTACAATGTGACTACTGTCACTTGAAAGGTCATACCAAGGACACCTGCTATAAACTCCATGGATACCCTACTGATTTCAAGGCCAAGAGAAGAGGTTATTCAGGCCCTTAGGTGAACAATGCATTTACTGCCCGAGGATTTCAACCTTCTAACCTTCCTCAGCCAACTCCACAACCTACTCCTCAATTTTCCCTTGCTCCAGTGTTTACTCAAGAACAATATGATCAGATTTTGCATATGCTGAACAAAGGAAAGCAGGTAAAATCAGTGGCAAATGCAGCAATTATGAATAACACAAGTACTATAAGAACCATCATGTCTCATCTAGTTAATGGTAACTGGATAGTAGACACAGCGGCCTCCAACCATATGGTACATAATTCCAAGCTACTAAGTGAAATCAAAGATCTGACTAGTATAGACCATAACAAGGTTCATCTTCCTAATGGTGAGCAGATTGCTATCAGTCACACTGGAGTTTCCACAATCTTCAAAACTAAATCATTACAGAATGTATTATACATTCCAAACTTCAAATACAACTTGCTTTCAGTCTCAAAACTTACAAAGGAGTTAAGATGTCTTGTTGCATTCTTTCCTTACTTATGTCTTTTTCAGGATTTCTTGAGTGGGAAGGTAATGGAGATTGGTAAGGAAGAATGTGGACTCTACATCTTGAAGCCAGATATTCCTGAAACAGCTGAATGCAAGCACAGTAACAATCTAGCATATTCTCTAAATAATATCTCTAGTTTCAATAAGGCAGTTCCTCCTAAGCCTACTAAGAATTGTAATGCGTCTTTGTGGCACAAGAGATTAGGACATGCACCTCTGAAAGTTCTACAAAAAATTAGTAGTTTACCTTACATTCCTATGCAAGATCATCATTGTACAATGTGTCCTATTACTAAGCAATCTAGACTTCCATTTCCTCAGAGCATTTTTTGTTCTACTCTTCCTTTTGAACTTGTGCATGCTGATGTCTGGGGTCCATACAGGGTTCCAACTCATGATGGTAAAAGATACTTTATGACATTGGTAGATGATTTCTCTAAGTACACATGGATCTTCTTAATGAACACAAAAGCAGAATCTGTTGTTGTGCTGAAAATGTTTTTAGCACTAGTTCAGACTCAATTTGATAACAAGGTTAAGTGTCTTAGGCCTGACAATGGTACTGAGTTCTTCAATGAGCAGGTAACTAGTCTCTTGTTGTTGCATGGAATTATTCATCAGAGTTCCTGTGTCTATACACCTCAGCAGAATGGTACAATTGAGAGAAAACAGAGGTCTATTCTTAACATGGCAAGAGCCTTGAAGAGTTGAGGTTTCAAGCCTTTGTTCCACTCTAGTTCTGGGGTGAGTGTGTTTCTACAGCAGTCTATCTTTTGAATAGATTGCCTACTGTCTTGTTGAAAGGAACTTCCCCATTTGAGAAACTCTATAGCAAGGTCCCATCTCTCCAGCACTTGAGAGTCTTTGGCAGTCTATGCTATGCCACCTCTACTAGCAAATTTGATAAATTTAGCCCCAGAGCTATTCCTGCTGTCCATTTTGGCTATTCTCCTGTGCAAAAGGGATACATTCTATATGGTCTTCACTCAAAACTATTCTTTGTAAGCAGGGACACTGTTTTTCAAGAGGATGTCTTTCCTTTTAAGTATGACATATCTGGCTCTTCCCCTCTATTTCCTATTTTGGATTTGTTAGAAGCTGATTGTTCTTCTCCTCAGTACATCCCTTCTTCTAGAACTCCTACACTTGAGTCTCCTTCTTTTGTTCCAAGTCCATCAGTTAATTCTCCTCAGCCACCTTCTTACCTTCCATTATCCAGTCCTTCTCCCATTGCTGCTCCTCCTCCTATTAGGAAATCATCTAGGACCTCTATTCCTCCTATATGGTTAAAAGACTATGTTGTACCCTCCAAAGGAGCAGTCTGCAATTATCCCATTTCCCAGTATATCTGTTATGACAAGTTGTCTCCTGCCTATCAGGCTTGTATTGCTGCATACTCTGTTGTGTCTGAACCTACTTCCAATGTTGAGGCCAGCACTGATCCTAAGTGGATAGAAGCCATGCAGGCTGAAATTGCTGCTCTTGAGGAAATTAGACATGGTCCATTGTTGATCTGCCTCCTGGCAAGACTCCTATTGGCTGTAAGTGCGTGTTCAAAGTCAAATATAAGTCCACTGGGAAGGTGGAGAGGTATAAGGCTTGACTGGTTGCTAAGGGGTATAGTCAGTTTGAAGGGTTGGATTACAAAGAGACTTTCTCTCCTGTGGCCAAAATGGTGACAGTAAAGTCTGTGGTGGCTTTGGCTGCAGCATCTGGTTGGTTCATTTTTCAAATGGATGTGCACAATGCATTTCTCTAAGAAAACCTTCTTGAGGAGGTCTATATACGGAATTCCAGATGGCTTTGCCAGCCAGGGGGAGTGTCATCAGAAGAAAGCATGCAGATTGCATAAGTCCTTGTATGGTCTCAAGCAGGATCCTAGACAGTGGAACCTGAAGCTGACTTCCGCTCTCAAGGACATGGGATTTGTTCAATCTCATTATAATTACTCTCTTATCACACAAAGGGTAGGTGGTGATCTGATAGTAATCTTAGTGTATGTTGATGACCTGTTGGTCATTGGGAACAATGTGGAGCTTATTCATCAAGTGAGGACAGACTTGCAAGCTAAGTACAACATGAAGGACTTAGGAGAATTAAAGTTCTTTCTGGGAATTGAGTTCTCTAGATCTAAAGAAGGAATTCTTATGGATCAAAGGAAATATGCTCTTGAGCTAGTGTCTGAGCAGGGATTGGCTGGTGGTAAGCCTGTTGCTACACCTCTTGAGTTTAATCATAAACTCAATTCAGTAGCATTTGATGAATATATGAACAAAGGGGAAGCCTCTACAGATGCACAACTTGAGGACCCAGGAAGCTATCAAAGACTGGTTGGCAGATTGCTGTACTTGACAATGACAAGGCCAGACATTGCCTTGTTGTTCAAGTATTGAGTCAACATATGCATGCTCCTAAGCAGTCACATATGGAAGCAGCTATAAGAGTAGTCAAGTATATCAAGGGAACTGCAAATTTGGGACTGTTTATGCCAGCAAAAGGTAACAAGGAACTAGTTGCCTATTGTGATTCAGACTGGGGTTCATGTGTGGAAACAAGAAAGTCTATTACTAGTTATATAGTTAAGTTTGGTGAAGCTATAATCTCTTGGAAGTCCAAGAAACAAAGCACAGTTTTCAGGAGCTCTACAGAATCAGAATTCAGGAGTATGGCAGCTACTGTTGCTGAAGTCACTTGGCTAGTTGGTTTGTTTAGAAAGCTTGGAGTTGCAGTGAACAACCCTGCACAGTTGTTCTGTGATAGCAAAGCTGCTATACAGATTGCAGCACATCCCATATTCCATGAAAGAACAAAACACTTTGAAATTGATTGTCACTTTGTAAGGGAGAAAATTCAGAGTGGTCAAATTCAGACTCAACATATAGGGACTAAAGAACAACCTGCTGATCTGCTTACCAAGAGTCTATGCAAACCACAACATGAGTATTTGATTAGCAAGCTGGGAATGAAGGACTTCTTCCATCACTCAGCTTGAGGGGGAGTGTTGAGAATAATGCATAGTGTAGAAGTTAGTTAGGATGTTAGAAGTTAGTTAGTGGGCCACATGTACAGCCAACAACTAATATATTATTAGGTAGTTAGTGGTTAAGTAATGTATATATATACACATGTACAGTACATGAAGAAATGGATTCGATATTTTCCAAGCTTTGCTCAATTACTCTCTTCTTCCTTCCAGAGCCAGGCCCATCCCAATTTATTGTTACCTATGTTGGGCCCCCATTTATATTGTCCACGCTCCAGTTGCAGGCCTAGGCGTGAGGAGGNATGATGAATTTAACAAAAATGAGCTCTTTTAATCATAAAACATTAGAAGTAGACACTAAATTTAGTTTAAAAAGCCAAAAACTAGTCATTGGGTGTTAAAATTTGCACCTCAACATGTGTTAATAGACATTGTTACACTTAGATATATCAATCTTTGAACATAATTGCCCTTCTGAATAGGATCAAACTTAGGGATGAAACTGTACATTCCATACGTAAATTTGAAGAACACAAAGAACTAAAACAGGCTCACAATGCTAATGAATGAAGAATTCAGAGGCAGCAAAGATTCTTACACTTGAAAAAAAAAGTGTAAATATATTTAGCATAAGTAAAATTAACAAAGAAAGAAAGGGTTAAAAGGAGACCTTAGCAGTAATAAGGTTACGAGCAGTAAAAATGTTGGCAATAGATTTGGGAAGACCCATTTCGCTAAGCAGCTTGTTCGCCATAGCTTTCTTCCTCTCCCACTTCTTTCTCTCTTTTATCTTTCAATTTCAAAGTTATGTCATTATTCATATTTTGGGTACGTTTAAAATGGTTCCTTAAATATATTTTTAGCAGTTTCAATCCTTTAAATTTACCATATTTTTGGTTAGATATTTATCAAATTTCGACTGTTAAATTCAACCGAATTGTGACCAAGAAAAAGTTCTAACCAGAGTCACCAGAATTCCTATCAAATACCAAAAAAAAAAATTAAAAAAAATAAAAGAAGTAGAAAATGCACTTTTAAAAATTGCACCACAAGTATACAAGGGTTTGACTGAGTTAGTTGGATGCGTCATTTTTATAAGGGGATTTTGGGATCGATTTTCCTTACCGGCAGTCCCTCTAATCAAGAGCTCGTCGCATCGGACATATCTAGTACAATTTACATATAATTTGCAAGCTATTGCATAGTAAGCATGTTATTTCCTGAAATTTTTTTTAAAAAAATATATATAAATAGTCTAAGCTAGCGTTTGGCCTTAGATTCCCAAATTTGTTTTGAAAAATCTGATTCGAGTGAAGTTTGGTTTGAAGATGAAAATGTGTTTGGACATTAGTTTTCAAAGCATATTTCCTAAATTTATTTTGGAAAAATATGAAATATGACTTATACCTACAAGTTCTAAAAACTATCACAAATACCCAATAGTATCATTATCAATAATATTCACTATATTATCGCAAACCATAGTCTTGAACATAAATAAATTTGATACAAAATTATCATTTTTATAATGAACTACATGATAATCAGATGACCTAGAAGACGAAGCGATATTGTTACAAAATAATAAATGGTGGGCTTTTTTATAAAATATGAGCAATTTAAAAAAAATATAATAGTAATATTTTGGCCCAAAATCAACTATTGAGCTGCTTTTGGAATTTGACCAAAATATAGGCAAAATTTATGGCAAAATCTATGACCAAATATATGTTTGCCAAATAAAATTCAAATTTATTTTGATAAAATGCATGACCGGACTGGTCCTAAAAATAGTAAAACCTTCACACACACAAAGAAAAAGACACTCTCAAAGGTGTTTATATTTTCTTAATTAAAATTGTGTAGTAAAAAAATGGAGAAAGAAAAAGCAAACGCGTGATTATATTGGAGACTCAAAAGAGTCTTCTCGGCCCAATCGCTCAGATACATGCAAAAATGGCGGACGACATAGACGTAGAGGCTTTCTTGCTCGAATTGGGAAACCTAGACAGCTACATATTTCTCTATGAAAGAGAATATTCGAAGCTCGCCTATGGCTAGATGTGGCCGGCTTGATCCAGATGATTTCATTCAAAACTATAAACGTGCTCTAGAAGACTACGATGCGATTGCAAAGGAGTAATCTTTCTTCCCCTCTATTATTTTGTACGATTATTTAGGACACCTACTTCTCTTGTTCTTCAATTTATATCACAGCACGCACTCTTCCTTATTTATTTATTTACTTGATTTAATCTCTTTTTAAATCCTAGGTATAATCAGGAGTCTTTAAGTATACACGTGCTTCCAGAATTTTTTTTTACTAGTAAACTGTACTGTTTTTAATGAACGGATGCCCATTGGAGGTGTTGGAAATTCCAGATGATTGTGTGAACGGGGAGCCTAGTGGTCCTTCGTGGAACACTGGAATCTTGAATGCTAATGCTCATAACTGTGATGTGTCTTTAGGAGTTGTCAAATTAGTAATGTACAGCTTAAATTATGTTGCAAACATAAGGTTTTATGCTCGAATTACTTTTTAATCCCTTTGATGTGTTGTGTCATGTGTGGTATAAAACTCTTCAGAACTTATTGCATCATTTGCCCTTTACTATTAAAACTTTGCATTTTGCGATCTGCAAAGAGTGTTCCAAGACAAAAAATGACCTTGAATTAAACAATCTTTCTGTTGTTTTAATCACCATATAACGATCCTTGTTTAATTTTACTCACCATTATAACAGTCCTTACTGGACATTAGTTTTGTAGATCATTCCACATCTTTCCTGTTAGCGGCTAAGCTAACATGAACACAATATGCAGGGGTCCTTCTCAAGGTTTCAACGTGGGCGATGCAAAAAATTTGAGCCATGATGAGTTGGAGAAGATCACTAATGGGTTCTGTCAAGAGAATTTTATCCAGCACATTGGATATGGCAGATTGTTCCGGGGGTTTATAGATGACGGTGAAGGAATGCGGGAGGTTACTGTCAAAACATGGGATTTTATCTTTCCTGGGGTGATAAGCTATGATTTGTATCCACGAAAATTCTGGGTGAGTAAATGCTATATTTCACTGATTGATTCTGTCTGTGTTGTCATTTCACTAATTTTGTGACTTTGCAACAGGATGAAATTGTATTACTTGAAAGGTCAGAATTTGAGTCTCATCCTTGCTTGATGAAGTTGATTGGCTTTTGTTTTGACAAGAAGCTCGCTGTAGTTTATGATATGAAGTTCAAGACACCCTTGTGCGATGCAGTTCGTTCTGGTGTTGACTTACTTGAACTTTGTTGACTAAGGGGAGTCTGAATAATTAGTTGTTTCTTGCACTTGCTAACACTCTGTTACACACTTTTAGCTGAATTTGGGTGGAAGGAGCGAATGAAGGTGGCAACTGATTATGCACTGCTCCTGATAACATTAAGCCGGAAGCAGTTTGATGTTTGGTGTAATGGTTGTACTGATAGATGATGGATGAGGTCTGAAATGCTATTCCGTGTCTCTCAGTGTCATATCCCCTGATTCCCCCCTTGAGAATATCTTCTACATGTTGTTTATTTATTTTTTCGATGCAGGAATATAACATTAAGCTGTTGGACTTTAGAGTCAATGCATTCCCGCAGACACTTGGGGTTTACAATTCTGCCACTGCCTCAGGTATCTGTACATCTTTATTACTCCATAAGTTGTATTACTGCTCCTGTTATTGTCCGTACACCACACCTTTGAGTGCGTGTCTATTCTATTTGCCCATATGTATTTTATTCAAAGATTAAGTGCCTTTTTTTGGGGAAATGGAACACTAGATTATACTTATCATACGCAAACATACATGCATCTAGCGAGAATTCTGTCTTTTGACCAAAAAACAAGAGCTAATGTTAATCCCAACTAGTTTTTTCGCCTATATGAATCCATTTGCTTTCATTGCGTTCTTTTTTTATTTAAGTTATATCGATTTAGGCCGATTATGGTTCTTTCAAGACCTACTTTCATGTGATTTTAGGTCTGTCTTGTCCCTTTTATTATCTTCAATCATCATATTTTTTGGACCTACAACTCGATGGATATGGAGGTCTACCCAGGCCACCTTCTCTTATTTTGTCTTGTCTTTCTTTCACGCTATACAAAATATGATCCTTTGTAATCGTGTTCATTGTTGTCTTATCGTACTTTCATCTTAACTTCCACATTTTTATGATGTTTGATCTTGTGGATATTGTGGTTTGGAGTTTCAATATCACTCCCTTATAATGTTTTTGGGCTGAGATTATAGTGCATATATTTTGTCTTTCTTCTACTTGCCCTAAAACTCTTACAGTTTGGACTTTGGAGTAAATTTTTGTTGACTCTTATGTTATTTCATCTGCAAGCAACAAGGTACATCATCCTGTATACTTTTGGTTAGTTCGTCCATAGCTAGGTAAACAGGTACGAGTTTAACGATGATTTCTGCTGTAAATTTGCTATCATAAGAAAATCAATTTGTCTTTTTTTCTACGGTTCGCACTTGCGAAAGCTTCGTTATACACATCTCTTTCTTTTAATCAGGTAAAAGTAAAGCTTTTATGGATAAGCAGCACCAAGAAGGTGCTATACAACAAAAGGTTGCACCTGACTACCTCATATACTAACCTACTTAGACTGCGAGGTACTGTGTGCGTGGGTATTTACATGAGTATAAAAGGAAACCTTCCTAGTCTTGTATAACAGTAATGAACTCTATGAGTTCTTCTCTGTCCTCTATTAGAACATTTTACACCAAAATGACGGCAGACATATGCATTCAAACTTGATTTTATAGATAGGTTTGTGTCTACTTTCCAAACACTTGAGGCTCCTCTCCTTCCAAATTATCTACCAGATGCATGTAGGTATTTTGTTCCACAGCCTTCTTTTCTTCCTGGTGATACCTTTTCTATTCCAGCAAATAAATAGCTCTTTTGGAGATTTTGGCAATACCTGTTTCAACTTGAACATGTTCAGGAACATAACCCAGAGGTTAACTGTCACCTTGCAATACAAAAATTATGTGGTAGTTACTTTGCATTTCTCTTATGCATAGATAGCACCAGTTGCACACAGGGGCGGACCCATATGGAGTTAAGAGGGTTCATACGAACCCGCTTCGTCGAAAAGTAACACTGTGTATATAGGTATATTTTTTCTGTCTTCAAAAAAGTAAAGGTATAAATATAATTTTGAACCCGCTTCAAACAAGTAAATCGCCTAGCCTGCTGGTAAAGAGGGTTCAAATTTTCCACATGGTCCTGAGTTCGAAACCAGCTAGTCACATATGGCCTCTATTTTTGTTTTTTTAAAATAGGTTACTTTTCCCATAAAAACGACGTCGTTAGCCCCTCTGCCCTCTAGTCACATATGATCTTTGAGATTAGAGATCAAAATCTCTAATCTTAAGCCCTCGATGCCTCTCTCTCTCTCATTCTCTCTCTCTCTTCAATTTCAAAGAGAATTGCCTCCTCCGTTAGCCCCTGCTGAGAAGGTCATCTCCCTCAAAGACAAAGGGCGTAATCTTGGTATCAGGTGATCAATAAGAACCAATTCTAGTTTTCCAATTTGTAGTATTTATTCCTCTTTTGCATAAAGATTTAATCCCAATAAATTTCCTTCACCTTTATGTGCTTCCTTCTCTTTGTTGACTGTTGTAGTTCAATTTCAAAGAACATTGCTTCATAGTTGTCTCCTCCATTAGCCATAAGCCACTGCCGCTTCTCGTTGGGTCGCCTCTCTCCGTCTGTCGCCGTCAGCCCTACCCCGTCAATTGTCACTATCAGGTTTCTCAGTTCTCACTTGCTTATTTTGCTGATTTTTGTAATTTATGCTTTGGAAAAAAATTCAGATTATTTTAATGGGTTTTGGCTAAGAAATTGAGAGTAATAAATTTGCTTATATTGAGAAGTTAGCACTTTTTCTCTTTAGTTATGGAAAATTTTAGATTGTTGTTGTTGGTTTTGACTTTTGAGTGAGAAATCCTTTTTCAGTTTGAGTATAATGAAAGTATAAAAAGTCTAGTTTGAGAAATCCTTTTTCAGATTATTAGACTATGTTGAAATGTTGAAACAGATTATTAGAAAAAGTCTTTTCACTTTTTCTCTTTTGATTGCATTTTATTAGACTGTCAAATTAGGATTACTATTTAAAATTTTGCCTATTATTGTATGTCCAAGGTGATGAATATGATATAACAAATTCTCACTATCGGGTTTCACCTTTGCTATTATCCATGAATGAAAGTTTCATCGCAAAGTTCCGTAATCTGATGAGTGATAGTTACTTGTGTTGTCTTCGGCCACATTAATTCTTCTAGTTTAAATTTAAGGTTAAACATATACAAAATTATTCTTCTAATTCTAATTCTAATTTGGTAATCCAGTTTGTGTTACAATGAGGAGATTTTACCCTCCAGCATCTCCCAAGTTGCCACAACCAAGTTCATCTTCTCCAATTGCTGCTCCCATAGAACAAAATTTGAACCAATTAGAAGAGCAACCTCAATCCTCTAAAAGACAAAGACAAGGAATAGTCTTGATTCTTTACCAACTGATCCAAAGGAGAGAATACCCATTAGAGATTATCATCCAAATGAGCGTGATGAGATTAGAAGAGAATATCTTCGAAGAGGTCCTTGCCAACCCCGACATCATAAGTTTCCTCAAAGAGATTTTTCGGGCTTAAAGCGTCGTTTCAATCATAAATAGTTTGATGAATATGGTAATTGGTTGGAGTATAGTGATAGAAGATGCAGCTTATTGTTTGTGTTGTTACTTGTTTCAAGATGAAGAAATTCATCAAGGTGGAGGCGATGTATTTTCAAGTTTAGGATTTAAGAGTTGGCAAAAAAAGAAGAGATTCGAAGAGATTCGATATGCATGTTGGTAAGTCGAGCAGTAGTCATAATCATGCAAAAAGGAAATGTGAAGATCTATTAAAACAAAAACAGTCAATTCAAACTTCATTTGATAGGCAATCCAGTCAAACAAAGCTCGAATACAAAATTCGCTTGAAGGCTTCAATTGAGGTTGTAAGACTCCTATTGAATCAAGGATTGGCATTCCGTGGACATCGTGAAGATGAATCATCATTAAATAAGGGAAACTTTCTTGAGATTCTTTCATGCAATGCAGAGAGGTGCGATAAAATTCGTGATCTTGTGTTGAAAAAGGCTCCAAAGAATGATCAGTTGACCTCTCATAAAATTCAAAAAGACATTATCATTGCATGTAAAATTGAAACAGTTAAAGCAATCATGGACAATCTAAATGGAGACTTTTTTGCATTGCTAGTTGATGAATCATGTGATGTATCACGCAAGGAGCAATTAGCTGTTGTCTTGCGATATGTTAATAGATGTGGATCTGTGGTGGAGCATTTTATTGGGATTGTTCATGTTCGTAATACTAGTGGTTTATGTTTAAAGGAAGCAATTGCTGATTACCTTGCTCAACATTCTTTGAGTTTATCTTATGTGCGTGGACAGTGCTATGATGGAGCAAGCAACATGCAAGGGGATTTAGGTGGCCTCAAAACTTTGATTCAACAAGAAAGTAAATCCGCTTATTCCATTCATTGTTTTGCACACCAACTTCAATTGACTCTTGTTGCGGTATCCAAAAAGTGTCTTGAAGTGGGAGAACTTGTATTGTTGGTTTCTAATGTATTGAATATAGTGGGAGGTTCTTACAAACGTATGGATGATCTTCGAGAATCTCAAGCAGAAAAAGTTCAAGAGGCATTAGACATGGGTGAACTTGAAACTGGTCGGGGTTTGAATCAAGAACTTGGTCTTGCCAGAGTTGCCGATACTCGTTGGGGTTCGCACTACAAATCTTTTAAGAACTTTATTTCTATGTTTGGCTCAATTATTGATGTTCTTGATACTATCGTTGTTGATGCCTGGACTTTAGAAGAAAGAGCTAAGGTAAAGGGATATCTTAGCACTTGTCAAACATTTGAGGTTGCTTTCATGTTGCACCTAATGAGAGATGTTTTGGAGATCACAAATGAGCTTAATACATCCTTACAAAAAAAGGAGCAAGATATTGCAAATGCTATTCTACTTGTTGAAGCGGCAAAGAAACGGTTGCAAAAGCTAAGAGAAGAAGAATGGGGTTTACTTATTGATAAGGTGTCTGCATTTTGTGTCAAGTATAATATTTTGATACCAAACTTTGATGACTTCTATGTTAACTCCGGAAGATCTCGACGTAAAGTTGTTGATTATACTATTTTACATTACTATCGTGTTGATATAATTTTTAAGATTATTGATTGGCAAGTTCAAGAACTCAATGCTTGTTTTAATGAGGTGACAACGAACTTGCTTGTTGGAGTAGCGTGCTTAAATCCAGTTGATTCATTTTCCAGTTTTGACATAAACAAGATATTGATGATGGCTGAATTGTATCCTGGCGATTTTGATGAGAATATAATGGTTACGCTCAAGAATCAACTTGAAACTTATATTGTTGATGTTCGTGATTTTGACGAAAGGTTCTCAAATCTACATGGACTTGTTGATCTTTCTAAAACACTAGTTAAGACAAAGAAGCATTTGAATTATTCATTTGTGTTTCGCCTTGTGAAATTTGCTTTGCTTCTACCAGTTGCCACTGCTACAGTTGAAAGAACTTTCTCGGCGATGAAGTTGATCAAAAGTGAATTGCGAAACCGAATGAATGACGAATTCATGAGCGGTTGTTTGGTACCTTATGTAGAAAGAAAAATATTTACACCATTTCTGATGAGACTATTATGAATACGTTTCAGAAAATGAAAACTTGTAGAGGACAATTGTAATAATATATTTTATTAATATATAGTTTTTGTTGACCTCTTTGTATATTTGCTTCTTTGCATTTTGAAACCGTTTGATAAAAATCCTGGGTCCGCCACTGGTTGCACATGTTGTGTCTGTGACCAGTTTCTTTCCTCCTATGAGATTCTTGGCTTATCTTCCAAACTAAACTTGGTCTCCGCATCTCGGTCCCTAAATATAAATTCTTGTCCTCTAGGTTTTCTGAAATGTTCTGTCTCTTGTTTGGTGACTTATGCATTTTCTGAAATGCTATCATCAACAGCTAGCTTCTCGATTGAAAGAATTGTGTTATTCTCTCCGCAAGTCAGCTATAGAAACCTTGATTTTTTCTCAAAGAAATCTCTCTTTGCCACATCTTCCAACTGCATCTGAAAACTTGCCTGCATTCACCTCATCCTTTCTCCTCTCAAGATCTTTGAAAGAGCTCTTGTTTCATTCCCTAAGTTTGCTTTTCAACCCTTTTAGCTTTTTTGCTAGCACGTAATCGAGGTTACCTGTTATTTCAAATTATGTTGGACTTGCTATATTTTGGCGCTTGCCTCGGAAAGATAGGATAAGGTCCATCAGTTGTTGGATTTTGAAGTAAAAATAAGTTCAGATTTCTATTTTCCAAAACTTTAACATATTTGGAGATGCATTGGGTTTGTTACTCAATGTCATTATAGAAGAAGAAACATCATGTTTTTCAAGCTCTCTTTCAACTTAGGGTGGTCGGACATTTCCGATAGCGTTTTTCAGAAGAGTCTAGCTTACCCCGCCTGCATGCCCTACTCTGCCCCGTTGCCATCCATTTTAGAGAACTACAGCGAACTGGTTCTCTGATGAACGCTGAAGCTATGAGTGACCTGTGACTCTGTAGCTGTAGAGTTGCTACTCCTTATCCGCCTCCTGTATCGCTTTACTGTTCGAAGGCAACATCAGTGATTGACAAACCAAGAAGCCCCTTCTACTGACTGTTAGTCAGTGCCTACATTTCCTTGTCTTTCTACCCACCTGTATCATCTTAAGATTTTCACTTCTTCATGACGTTAAACGACTTCCAACCAACTAGGAACCTTCTCTATTTTGGGCTCTTTTTTGTGCTGGTGAAGGACTCTTTCTTTTGTTTCAGCTTCTTTATACAAATATTTTCAGGTATCTGATAAAAGAAAATGTATCTTTTAAGGTATATAATATATTTAAGATGATTTCTTTTCTAGTCAAGCACCACCTTAAAGGACTTTTCTTGGCACTCTAATCATATGCTTTTTCTAAGTCAATAAAATCTTGTCATATCCCTTTTCTTCTCGCTATTGTTTTGGTCTATTTGTTTTACAAATTTATAGCTTTTACTGTAGATCTCAGGCATAAAATTGGACTGATTTTCTATCGTCCTTGTAATAATTTTTTAATCTATGCTTTATTACTCTTTTTTGAAATTTCACAGTATGACTCATAAATTTGAGAAGACGATGGTTTGTGCAACCTCAATTATCTTTATCCTTGCATATCAAAACAAAGGTACTTCTGAACTCATTTGCATATTTTCTCTCCTTAAAAATAATTGAATACTTTAAATTAGTCATAATACTCTAACCTCCCGAAGGCACTTCCATACCTATGAGGACATGATCTGAATCAAATGCTTCTCTAACCCACACTTTTTCAGACATCTGCTTCAATATATCTAATTCTATGATAATGGTTAAGTTTAGGCAGGACATATCACATCTTTAGCTTACCGAGGAGGCGAGGACATTACCCTTAATAGAAAGGTGGGGAGATCGAGTATTAGGGTAGGAGCGTAGTGGTAATCGAGCGTTCTTCTTTTCCATACCATTAGTATTAGTACGTAGTCTCGTATTTTCCTATTTTTAGATTTCTAGTACTACATGTTGTTTCTCTCTCTTCGGTAGTCTTATTACTTTGCTGTTGTTAGTTGTTACAGCTTCTTTCATGGATTTGTTGTTGTTACTGTTTCTTTTCATGGCTTCTACATTACCGTATTCCTTTTTCGTTATTGTTGTGCTTATGCTTTCCGTGAGTCGAGGGTTTGTTAAAAATAACCCTTCTACCTCCACAAAGGTAGGGGTTAGGTCCGTGTGCACTCTACCCTCTCCAGATCCTATTATGTAGAATTACACTGGGTATGTTGATGTTGTTGATTCTGTTTCTCAAGAATGTATGAAGACCAGCAAAGTTATTCTCGTGAATTCTGATAAGCAATTGATTGAAATATCATATTCGTTCTCTTTCCTCTCGCTCTCTCCCTCAAAATTTGTAGGAGCTCGTCTTTAATACGTTTAACTTGGTTCAGGTCTTAATCCATCTTCTGGTGTGGTCTCGCTAGCTTATACATTTCTTCCCTTTTCTTGGTTCCTTAACTTCTGGTACTGGTTGGTTAAGGATTTACCCCGCACTTAGTTAGTCGTCTTTTTAGCTTTTGTTGTCATTCTCTTGTGCTCTTTATAGATTTTTCCATCTTCTATTGTTTAACTTTTTTCACCACCACAATTTGTGTTTGAAATTTCTATACCTTAAGCATAAGATAACCATTTTTGCCAGCTGGACACTGAAAATGCAATCTTGTCATAATAAAATCATATAGTATTTGTTTCTACTAGCTTTGAATCTCTAGTGTAAACTTTAGAGGCATTGAATATCTTTAGATGTACACTCCAATTATTGTTTGATGTGTAAGGTTCACAACCACTGTGTAGATGTACGTATAGAGTCATTCCAATCATTAGAGTGAAACGAGACCAATTTTATTGGTATTTTGCAGATCAGGCTTCCCAACTGTGTTTGAACTTGGCGTTCTTCTTCTCGAGTTGATAACCAAAAAGGAGCGCAAGTGGAAGGATAAGTATCATCCAGGTTATTATATTGCAAAGTTGAATCGAAGATCCATTGTTCATGAAAGCTTTGAAATAGATAGACACTGGCACTAGAATGACACAACTTATACAATCATGTGTGCGTCCTGCCGCTGATGAACGTCCACATATAGACACTGTCTTTGATGCATTGGTAAGCATAGCTGGGTATAGTCCCACTGTGTCAGATTCATATCCATGGATTGATTCCCTCTACTTTACTAATGTAAAACTTCTCAACAACTACTCTCAATCGCTTATGTCAATTGTATAGCTGATGGCCATGATGCTTAGATGTAGAAATGACACCAGGTAGCCACTCTAAAGGGCTGCTATTTAAGAATTAGTCAATGTGTCCTGAATTTCAGTTTTAGTTTAATTTTTTTGGGCAAAAATGTCATGAATTGTCTGAACTTAAGATTTTTAATGTAAAATTTAAGGACAAAATAAGTACTGGCTAATCTCTAAATAGTATCCGTGAGAATGGCTATCTATGTATTTGCCCCTGCTTAGACTAGATAAACGAGGTGGCTAATTAATAAAAAGCTTAATCTGTCGTAATTGGTTCTAGGATATTTTACCTTTTGGTTTTGCATAATGTATTGAAATCCTTTACTTTCTCCTTGTGGCGAACAAAGAATTATAGGACAACGAAATTTTACAACTAGAGTGATACACTAAGACTAATGGATATGTGCCAAACAAATAATAACGACCTTATCAGTAAAACTATTGTTTTGGCCATTAATTTCTTTCTCACTATATATATATATATATGCAGCTGAAACAAATGCTTGATCTGATTTATATAGCGCTATATTCTCTCTTTTATCCATTGAGGTTATCTTTATTTTTTTGTTTACTTAGAATGAAACAAAATAAACAAAGGGATCTTGGTTTAAACATACTCCAACAAGTAAAAATTGCACGGGGCGCCCGCCCCCATTTAACTTATATCCATTTTTTAAAAAACTTTTAACTTGTACCCATTTTTTAAACAACTTCAGCTCCCTTTCTCCTCCCCCTTCTCCTCCTTCATTTTCTTTTTTCTTCTTCTACAACGATGACTTCAACATTGCTCTCTTTGATTAATGAAGCTAAAACAAATATACTGAGAACTTCCATTTGGATTATTATAACATTAAAAACCAGTTTCCTCATTGTCTGGAAACACAACTCCGTCATCCATTGCTGGAAATTTACTTCATACCGTGAATGTTTCTGCACAAGGAACCCAGCCTTTAACAGTAAGTTTCAAATTCATTCTTTCACATGCACATGGAGTTTGTTCTTCTTTCTTTTCTCTTATGAGTTCTTTTTTTTTGGCTATGAAACGTAGCTCTTGATATATTTAAAACACGAAAGTTAACAGAGTACACAGTAGATGGAACTGAACGATGGATCCGATTACATAAAATCGAATAACGGTAAACTAAAGTTGGATGAGTTATCAAAAACTAGAACATCTTGATAATGGGATTCCCTAGTTACAAAGACAAAAACTTCAGCTCTAGATAGAGCTGAAGTTTTCCAGTTACAACACAAAAACTTCAGCTCTAGCTGAAGTTTTGCGTGATTGCCTTTGCTACTTCAGCCTTGTGTGCTGAAGTTATGCGAAAAAGCGAGTACGCTTGCAATTTTTTTTTGCAAAGCGGGCACAAGTTAAAATGTGACACAAAAAAGGGGTATAAATGCAAATGCCCCCTCCAACAAAGAGACCATTTTCGTTGTTATGCTTAAGTAAAAATAGCACGGGCTAGCCAGTTTTCGGACTGGTCATTCAAAAATAGCCAGCATTTGCAAAGTCATTGAAAAATAGCCGCTATGTTGCTTCAACACGGAAAGTTCCAGCATAATAAATTGGAGATCTGTGCACCTATGTATGAACTTCCAGCATATTATGCTAGAACTCTAACACGCGGAAAGTTCCAGCACAATATACTGGAGATTGGAGCACCTGTGTATGAACTTTCAGCCTATTATGCTGGACCGGTATATTATACTGGAACTCCAGTATAATATGCTGGAAGTCCAGTATATTATACTGGAGTTCCAGTATATTATACTTGAGTATTTTCCGGATTTTGAACAGTTTTTTTGTTCAAATTTATCTTTACATAAAAAGTGGTTAAATTTCGATTACTTTTGAAACAATGACT